AAGCTAAAGAGGATAGAGAGAAACACTGTTAACTGATGATATATGGAGGGGATAATAATCAATGTAATGAAACAAGCTATATGAATGGTTAAATGTGAAGCTGATGATGTGCCCTGTAAACTTTCACTCAATCCAAAATAAAAACATTTAATAAATAAAAAGAAAAAAAAATAGAAAATCTTTGTCGTCTGCCTTTGCAATCTGAGTATTTTAAATAATACCTGTTGAAGATCTGGGCATGAAGGAGAAGAAAAAAAGTGTCTGAATAACAACTAAAATGTACAATTCCTGTCCTCAGAAAGGTTACATCTGTGTTAAGATTCAGAAGGCCATGGAGGCAGGAATAAAGGAGCTCTGGTAGCGTAGTGGTTTCGAATAGGGCTGCGAGCGGCAAGGTCAGCAATTGGAAACTACCAGCTGTTCCGCGGGAGAAAGATGAGGCTTTTTGCTCCCGTAAAGATTTACAGCCTCGGAAACCCTGTACGGGGTCGCTATGAGTGGGAACTGACTCCACGGCACAAAACAACAACAACAATATGATGTCTGAAGGCAACTTTAATCTTTAAATTGTCATTATGGTGGCAGAGAAATGACTAGGTTAGTAGAATTACTAACTAGAATTACTATCTAGGTTAGTAGAATTAGGCTTCTGCTGACGTAGTATAGAATTGTTTTGTTAATAAATTGGTCAAGGTGGATCACTTAGTATTAATTGGAAGAGTGTCGAAACGGTGTGGTTTGGGCCAGAACATATCTTCATTTCTTTTGAAAATTTTTAAAGAAAGACATGCAAACTAATGTATTTGTGTGTTGGTTTGTGGGAAGCGCAGGGTAAAGGGTGAGGTTGTGGCTGGAGAGTCTGTAATTCAACAATATCAAGTTCAGTTTTTTTAGTTGGTTATTTGGTTAGGCGATGGACACGCAGAAACCCACCCCGCTGGACACTGCCAGGTACTCACGAGTTGGCATGGATGAAATCCAGGTGTAGCTGGGCCCGCTGCAGTGAAGCGTACTTGTCACTCATGCCCTCAAACGCGACCTGCGCGACCTAAGGGGACAAGGATGCACCCACCCCGGCTATGCGCCCACGCCCCAGCGCACACCCACTCCCACGCTCCAGCTTACGCCCACACCCCAGCACACGGCCACGCCGGAATCGCAGCATTCCACAAGCACGTGCTCACCCCCGTGGCTAAGTGCGAAGCTCACCCTGCCCCCATTGGCCCAGGCGGAAGTTATTCCTGTAGATCACAGATCTGGAAGCCTTGTGTTACTACAGTGGTTAAAGAACTTGACTGCTAACCAAAAATTTGAGGGTTTAAAACCCACCAACCTCTGAAAGATGTGGTAGTCTGCTTCTGTAAAGATTAAAGCCTTTGAAACCCTATGGGGCATGTCTACTCTGTAATACAGGGTCACTAGTATTCAGAACGGACAAACAGTGATTTGGTTTGGTTTTGATCTTGGGCCATGTGCTTAACAGGTCTAAGCTAGATTCCTTTCCAAGTTGAGATTTCTAAACAGTTGTTCTTCTCTCTGCCTTTTTCAATCACTCCCCAGCTGAACTATACAGTACAACAATGCGATTGGAATTCAATTGCCCCCACACACATACACTTGTTGTTGTTGTTGTTAAGTGCCGTCGAGTTGGTTCCGACCCATAGCGACCCTGTACAGAGTTTCCGAGGGTGTAAATCTTTACGGGAGTAGAAAGCCTCATCTTTCTCCCGCGGAGCAGCTGGTAGTTTAGAACCGCTGACCTTAAGATTCGCAGCCCGATTTGTAACCACTACGCTACCAGAGCTCCTTCACACATACACTAGAATATGGAAAAGGAAAAACCCTCAGTTTTGTGGTTGGAAAGTGTAGGGAAGGTAAATGGGTAATATCCTTTTGCTTGTGCAATTTGTTACACAGCACCAAAAGTAAGGATACATTGGGGTTTTTTGTTTTTGTTTTTGTTTTTATATTTTAAATGTTTTATTGTGAATTATGTGATAGTTTACATGAGAGAACATTAGCTTTACATTCATCCTATTTTATATCCTTTCATTGCCATGGTTACAATCCCCTACATGCATCATCAGACAACCAAAGGGTATATGCCGCAAGCCTGCCCCCTGGTTGTCAGCACACAACCCCTCTCCCTCTCTAGGTCTAGAGTCCCCAGCCACTCCATCTCTCTACTCTGGCATCACTGTTTCTCTGGGTAGGATCCCGCACTCCGCTCTTCTCTCTTGATGGACCCAGGGACCTCCGCTCCTAGACTGAAAAGTCAATCACTCCCCTCTTTTTGTTACAAAGTGTCTACCTTTACATTTCCAACCCTCACAGTCAGTCCTGATAGTATTTATTCACTACTGTACCACATGAGTGCTATCCCCATCTCTTTTCATCAGTCCTGCCCAGACAAATCGGATACTATTCAGTGGAGATTCTACCCCGTGCCCTCTGGATCTAGACTACCTCTTTTTTTTTTTTTTTTTAAATGTTTTTATTTTGGATTGAGTGAAAGTTTACAGGGCACATCATCAGCTCCACATTCAACCATTCGTATAGCTTGTTTCATTACATTGATTATTATCCCCTCCATATATCATCAGTTAACAGTGTTTCTCTCTATCCTCTTTAGCTTTTTTTTTTTTTTTTTTTTTTTGGGGGGGGGGGGGGACTTGCCTTTTTGGAATTTACAGTCTCGGCTTTTAGGGAAGGTTTTTACATTTGTCTGTGGATATCCAGGGCTCAGATACATTGAGTTTTAATTCCAGTACTCACTTTCCCGTAGCTTTTGGGCTTCTGTTTTCTCCATTTGGAAGAAAGGAAGGAGCAGGATTAAAGAGAGAAAAATTAGGAAAGAACTAAAGGCAATCAGAACAGAATAGCTCTGTAAGGACAGCAGCGCATACCTGGATGTGTCATCAACTTTCTTCTTGTCAGCTGTCATTAACTCTTTGATGAGTTGGCCTGACTTAGGGAATAGACATTCTTTATTATTCCAGAGGTTAAAACTGGTCAAGTAGGAAGTGGAGGCATGAGGTTAAGGATACCGTAAGGGAGGGCTGAGCTCAGCGACTGTCCAAATCATTTTACCCACAAAGCACTATGTTCTAAGTTATCAAAACTCAATCTGAAACAGTATCTATCAAAGATACTGTGTGGCATTATCTCAAAATTAAAGAGTCAATTGAGCAAGATGACATAATCATAATAACTATTTATGTTCCAAATGAAAGAGCTCCAAAATATATAACGCAACTCTAATAGAATTGAAGAAAGAAATAGATAAGTCTATAATAATAGTGGGGGATTTTAATACACCACTTTAAAAAAAAAGAATAGACCAACCAGAAAGAAACTTGACAAAGACACAGAAGAACTAAACAACATAATCAACACATTCGACCTCATAGATGTATACAGAGCATGCAACCCAACAACAGTATATTTTTTCTTCCAGTGAGTCTCCAGAATGGATCATGTGTTATTCCACAAAACATGCCTCCATGAATATACAAACATCAAAATACTGCAAAGCATCTTCTCAGATCACAATGCTATAAAATTGGAAATCAATAATAGAAAGATGAAGGAAATAAAGTCAAATACATGGAAACTGAATAATACATGCTTAAAAGCTACTGGGTAGTGGAACAAATAAAAGGCAAAATAAAAAAATTCCTAGAAGCAAATGAGTAGGAAAATACAACATACCAAAATCTTTGGGACACAGCAAAAACAGTGCTGCGAGGACAATTTATTGCAATAAATGCACACATTCAAAAAGAAGAAAGAACCAAAGACCAGCAAAGAAAACCTACAGTCACCAGAAGAAAAAAATTATAAAGATTAGAGCAGAATAAATGAGATAGAAACAGAAAAACTAAAGAAAGAATCAACAGGACAAGAAGCTGGTTTTTCAAAAGGTTTAATGAAATTGACAAACCATTGGCAAACCTAACAAAAGAGGGAGAAGACACAAATAACACACATAAGAAACCACATGGGTGATGTCACAAAAGAACCAAAGGAATTGAAAGGATAATAACAGAATACAATGAAGAGTTGTACTTCAAGAAATTTGATAATCTAGCAGAAATGGATACACTTTTAGAAAAACATGATCTACCCAAATTTACATGCAGTGAAGTAAAAAACTTGAACAGACTTAAAACAAAAGAAGTAATTGATCAAGTCATATAAGAACTTACAACCAAAAAAAAGAAGTCCAGGTCCAGATGGCTTCACTGGTGAGTTTTACCAAACATTCAGGGAAGATAGTAACCAATTAGAGAATATAAAAAATGATGGAAAATTTCTTAGTACATTTTATGAGTCAAGCATAACCCTCATACCAAAACATCACTAAAAAAGAAAATTATAGACCAATATCCCTCAGGAA